GGTAACCCTTGCAGTGGTTCCTCTCATTGCTGTAATTGGAGCAATCCATACCATCACATTAGCCAAGCTCTCTGCAAAAAGCCAAGAAGCTTTATCACAAGGAGGAAACATTGTGGAACAGGTAAAAATACTAACTTTTCCCTCTGTTTCAATGTCTGGTTATTTGCTGATTGCGAGTCGAATTGCAGACAGTGGTTCAAATCCGGGTGGTTTTGGCTTTTGTTGGTGAATCGAGGGCATTACAAGCCTACTCTTCAGCACTGAGAGTTGCACAAAAGATTGGTTACAAATCTGGTTTTGCAAAGGGAATGGGATTAGGGGCGACTTACTTCGTTGTTTTTTGCTGTTATGCTCTTCTTCTCTGGTACGGTGGTTATCTGGTTAGGCATCATTACACCAATGGAGGGCTTGCCATTGCCACCATGTTCGCAGTTATGATCGGTGGATTGTGAGTACTCTATTTCTACTCTGCCTTTTCACTCTATTTTTTCATGTTTTGCTCAAAGACAACCCTTTACATTGATAGGGGTTTGGGGCAGTCTGCACCAAGCTTGTCTGCATTTGCAAAGGCCAAAGTGGCAGCAGCTAAAATTTTCAGTGTTATTGATCATAAGCCCAGCATTGATCGGAACAGAGAGTCGGGTTTGGAGTTGGAATCGGTTACTGGTCTAGTTGAACTCAAAAGTGTGGATTTTGCATACCCTTCGAGGCCAAATGTAAAGATCCTTAACAATGTCTCACTATGTGTTCCTTCTGGAAAAACCATAGCTTTGGTGGGAAGCAGTGGTTCGGGCAAAAGCACTGTGGTCTCCCTCATTGAGAGATTCTACGATCCCACCTCAGGTAAACTATGTCAAAGGCATATATGTATTCGATGTTCTCTAAGAAATCGGGTGGCATAGCTTTTAGAATCGGAAAGTCTCGGGTTAATTAATGTACTTTGTGTAGGAGAAGTGATGCTAGATGGGCATGACATAAAGACATTAAAGCTGAGATGGTTGAGGCAACAAATAGGACTTGTGAGCCAAGAGCCTGCACTTTTTGCAACCACCATTAAAGAAAACATTCTTTTGGGGAGGCCTGATGCAAATGAAATTGAGATCGAAGAAGCTGCAAGAGTGGCTAATGCCCATTCATTCATTGTGAAGCTTCCAGATGGTTTCGAAACTCAGGTTTAGCCGCTCAAAGATGGTTCATTTGGTATCAATTTAATTATTACTTCTCATTTCACCAAATAGGCTAGCTAATGTATGAAAATGGCAGGTTGGGGAGAGAGGACTTCAATTATCAGGCGGGCAGAAGCAGAGAATTGCTATAGCAAGGGCAATGTTGAAGAATCCAGCAATCTTGCTCTTGGATGAAGCAACTAGTGCACTGGACTCTGAGTCCGAAACTCTAGTCCAAGAGGCCCTTGATCGGTTTATGATTGGGAGGACAACTCTTGTAATTGCTCATCGCCTTTCCACCATTCGGAAGGCTGATCTTGTAGCTGTACTCCAGGATGGGTGTGTTTCGGAAATTGGGACACATGATGAGCTCATTGCCAAAGGAGAAAACGGTGCCTATGCCAAACTCATTCGAATGCAAGAGGCAGCACATGAAACTTCTATTAACAATGCTAGAAAAAGTAGTGCAAGGTAGCTTCCATAAGTTTTCATATGTTTGTTAATATCTCGAGAAGCCTTGCATCTTTTAGAATGTTATCTGTTATCATGGTTCTTCTGCAGGCCTTCTAGTGCTAGGAACTCAGTAAGCTCACCAATCATTGCCCGGAATTCATCATATGGCCGATCGCCATATTCACGCAGGCTTTCCGACTTTTCTACTTCTGATTTTAGCCTTTCACTCGAGGGATTCCACCCTAATTACCGAATGGAAAAGCTTGCCTTCAAGGAGCAAGCAAGTTCCTTCTGGCGCCTTGTGAAATGAATTCACCAGAATGGGTTTATGCTTTAGTAGGTTCTATAGGATCTGTTATCTGTGGATCCCTGAGTGCTTTCTTTGCATATGTTCTAAGTGCTGTGCTCAGTGTCTACTACGACCCGAACCATGCTTACATGGTCAGAGAAATCGGGAAATATTGCTATCTGTTAATCGGACTTTCATCAGCTGCCCTTCTCTTCAACACACTACAGCATTCCTTTTGGGATATTGTGGGAGAAAACCTCACAAAACGAGTGCACGAAAAGATGCTGGCGGCAGTACTGAAAATGAAATGGCATGGTTTGATCATGAAGAAAATGAAAGTGCTAGGATTGCAGCAAGGTTAGCTCTTGATGCCAACAATGTTAGATCAGCCATTGGAGACAGGATTTCAGTTATTGTGCAGAACACAGCACTCATGCTTGTTGCTTGCACTGCTGGTTTCGTTTTGCAGTGGCGCCTTGCCCTCATCCTCATTGCAGTCTTTCCTGTGGTTGTAGCAGCAACTGTTTTGCAGGTTTGTTTCTAAAACTGATCCTTTGCGCTCATGCGTGACACCGTCAAGAACTAATCTTGACTAAAAACAGATCATTTACCTCACAATAACCTGTATTTGTTGGATTTTCAACAGAAAATGTTTATGAAAGGTTTCTCAGGAGACCTAGAAGCTGCACATGCCAAGGCCACTCAACTAGCTGGAGAGGCCATTGCCAATTTAAGAACTGTAGCTGCCTTCAATTCGGAGAACAAAATTGTTGGCCTTTTCTCTTTGAGCCTTCAAACTCCTCTGAAACGCTGCTTCTGGAAAGGACAAATTGCAGGAAGCGGATTCGGGGTTGCTCAGTTTGCACTATATGCTTCTTATGCACTTGGTCTTTGGTATGCTTCATGGCTTGTGAAGCATGGAATCTCTGATTTTTCGAAAACAATCAGAGTCTTTATGATTCTCATGGTCTCCGCCAATGGTGCAGCTGAAACATTGACCCTGGCTCCTGACTTCATCAAGGGAGGTCAAGCCATGCGGTCAGTATTTGATCTAATCGACCGTAAAACTGAGATCGAGCCTGATGACCCGATGCCACACAAGTTCCAGACCATCTTCGTGGAGAAGTTGAACTAAATCATGTAGACTTTTCTTACCCTTCACGTCCTGATATCTCGATTTTCTGTGACCTTAATCTCCGCGCCCGAGCTGGAAAAAGTCTTGCCCTTGTTGGTCCGAGTGGATGTGGTAAAAGCTCGGTGATTGCACTTATACAAAGATTCTATGATCCCTCATCTGGACGTGTTATGATAGATGGAAAAGACATTAGGAAGTACAACCTCAAGTCCCTGAGAAAACACATTGCAATTGTTCAACAGGAGCCCTGCCTCTTTGCTTCCACCGTCTATGAAAACATTGCTTATGGACATGAATCTGCAACTGAGGCCGAAATCATCGAGGCAGCTACACTAGCCAATGCCCACAAGTTTGTATCCTCATTGCCCGATGGTTACAAAACGTTTGTTGGGGAGAGAGGGGTCCAACTTTCAGGGGGACAAAAACAGAGAATTGCCATTGCAAGGGCACTTGTAAGGAAAGCGGAGCTTATGCTGCTTGATGAAGCAACCAGTGCCCTTGATGCCGAGTCTGAGAGGTCAGTCCAAGAGGCTCTACAACATGCTTGCTCGGGTAAAACTACGATCGTGGTTGCTCATCGGTTATCGACAATTAGGAATGCTCATGTCATTGCAGTGATTGATGAAGGAAAAGTTGCAGAGCAAGGATCTCATTCACATTTACTAAAAAACTATCCTGATGGGTGTTATGCTCGGATGATACAATTACAAAGGTTTACAAATAGCCAAGTGGTTGGCATAACTTCAGGTTCGAGTTCTTCGGTAAAAGCGAAAGATGTCAGTGGAAGAGAAGGCTAGTGCCTAGTGGGTTAACTTCAAAAAAATAGTAGAAAAAAGGGGTATATCCCAAAAAACCCTCATGATTTTTTTTGGTGTTTACTCTGGATTTAACGTTTGGATATGGTATAATATATGTTCATCGTCTTTTTTTTCTTCCATGTTTTAACTTGTATTTTCTCCATGCATCTTTTTAAAGAAATGATAATGACAAATATAGTTCCTTGAGATTGATTGAAATAGAGCATGATGTTCCATTTCTAACTTGGATATGAGTCATAACTAGAGGTGTACAAAAAATCCGAATATTCAATTTTACGCAAAAAATATCCGAAACCGGATTTGGGAAAAACCGGTTTTTTTTTAAACCATATCGAATATTTTAAAACCGGATAGTATAACCGGTTTGGGAAAAAAATTAGACGACCGGATTTTTTACCAGATTAAAAACCGGTTTGAAAAAAATCGGATAAAAAACTAGTTTTTTATCCGGAAAAAAAATCCGATCTGAGATTTAAAAAATTGGATGACCGGATTTTTTACCGGATTAAAAACCGGTTTTTTTCAAACCGAAACCGATTACACCGGTTACATCATCCGGCCCTCCAAACTGGTTATGATCCGAACCGGTTTTTTTATAAACCGGGTTTTTAGCTTAGTGAAAAAACCGGATCGGTTTTTATCCGATCCGGATCGGATTTAAATCCAGCTATGTGCATCTCTAGTCATAACCCACTGCCCTACAATTCTACAAGATACACAATGAAGAAAGACCTAATGCAGCATAGGAATTTCCTAACTTAATCCTAACAAGCTACACTTTCCTGGTGTCCTATCTAGCGCCAGTAGTTAAGGTTCATAAATATTCCTCCAGCAACAATATGGTGTATTAGGAATTGTGGATAAATAGCCACGTAGAAAGTAAGAAATACTGGCAATTGCAAGCACTTATCATTGAATATTCTATAAACTGGCATCACCAGCCTGACCAGAAAGAAACAAATACTAGTTCATCAAACAACTCAAATCTGATAAATCATTCATCATCCTATGAACCACCATACCAACCCAACCCATGACTTGAGAGTCAACACTAGTTTACATCCCTCGTGCTCCTCACTATTTTCATCCTGATTGTATTGCTTAGAAAATTATAAGAATAATGAAACAGTAAGAAATGGAAAAAAAGGGAACGAAACCACTTATGCGGGGAAGCATTAAAATACAGAAGCAAGATGGGGTTTATCACTAAAGCAGTCAGACAATCAGTTCACAAGGAACCTTTCATAACACCCAAAATTCCTATGAATCAGGAGCTCTAACTTTATCCACTGATCGACAGAACAATGAACATCATTGATGGAGCCAAACAAGCACTGCTCACATTGACATTAATGTTGGTCCATTATTTGGCATGCCCATCCCAGCAGCCAATTCAGCATCAATTTGAGTATGTGGTGCAGGCCCCAACATCAGCTTCAAACTGCACCAAATAAAGCAAACATCAAACAAAAACACCCTTTCATATTTCAAGATATGCTAAACGCAAGCAGTTCTTTTTTAGCTCATTGGCAGAACTAAGTTGTGACAATCTATCACAGATTCATATTTGCATTTTGCAAATATGGAGAAAGAAAAAGCGGTCATCTTCATTGAAGATTTAAGAAACGAATGTGGAAAAACTAGCTTAAGTTTACAAGAAAATCAAAGTAAAATTTGGCAATACTCCGACTTAGTATGTGCTTACGAGTTTACTAAGACCATGAAACATAATGTTTAGAACTTGTGATATATAATGTTAGCCAGGGGCAGATGCACTCAGCCCCTTAAGGGGCAAAGTGCATACCCATTATTTTGGATAAGTTATTAAATATAGTTCAATGTATTAAGGGAAGTAGAAAAAATAAGAAAATTTGCATACCCATTTTGTTGAAAAATGAATATTAAAATTTTTAGTCCCATTTTTAATTTCTGGATCCTTCACTGATGTTAGCTCTTTTAGATTTTGCAAACATTTATGCTAAACACTGTAACAACAAAATTTTCTCAATAACACTAGAAACTCATAACACAAATGATGATTCTAAGCATAAAACCTCTATTAGTTAGAAACAAAAGGAGATATAGTGGCAAAAATAAGAACATGAAAACAATTGCTCACCGTTTCTTGTGTCTTTTCGTCTTGAAATGTTCATCCCTCACAGTCGAATTCGCAAAATATCGGCTGAATAAGTAAAAAATAATGAAACATATTTAATTATATCATACTAGAATTCAATTTTCATTTTCTATGTTTCATTTTTATAGAAACAAAAACAATAGATTAAGCAAATTATATAATTAAATTCATAAGCAAATTGTACTTACTCGCAGTGTAAGCAGTAATATTGACCCATTCCAGGCAAATCCTCATCGCGAGGCAACGGTTTCTTCTCGGAATCACCCTTTTGCAGCTCGTCATAAACGGCGTCATCACGTGAATCAAGAATTTCCCCGTTAAGAAAAATAGAATAGATTAAGTGCAAAAGAATAAACTTTTATCATAACAAAAGGAAAATTTCATTCAATTAAACTGGAAAAAAAGGATATCTTTGAGGAGGAATTTGTCGCGGCGAGCTGTTTTGTGAGAATATCTTCGCTTCTTTACTTTCCTGCTTGGGCATTTTCCTCCCATAGTTTCCTCTTCCTACTGGAATTATTTGAATAGCTTTTGACTGCGTTTTGGAAATTTAGGGTTGTATCCTTGTAAAACCCTAGTCGAAAAGGTGAATCTACGTGCTTGTCTTTGAATTTTATTCGACTTGGAACGTAAATAAACGATGCCGTTTAATTGCATATCTCTTATTTTGGGCCTGATACCTGGTCTTTAAGCCCATGCTTAAAAGAATTGTTTGATTGAAATTATAATTTTTTAATAATTTGATGTGATTATAAAATAGTATATGTTCAACATTTTTTTAATCATTGACAACGTACACATATCTTAGGCATAACTGCTCGAATTCAGACCTTAAGATAGAACAAAACTCCAATGGGAATTCGAAATCATGAATTTATCATGTATTAATATCATTGTAATTATAAAATATTATTATTATCTCATCAAGACACATTTGTAATCCATGTTTCACATGTGTTTATGTTGTCAATGGCTAAGAAATATTATGTACAAACATTATCTTATGATTATCTCAGATTATTTAAAAAAATAAATCTATCGATTAAGTTTAAAATAGTAATTTTTAAAAATCATTTACAATATAAGTCAAGTTTAAAATCTAATATTTAAAGTTTAAATTCGACTCGACTCATTTTTATAATTTTATGATATAATGTTTAAATTTATTTTTTATTCATGAGTTATATAAGTATTACTATTAAACTTCGAATTAAAATTTATTATTCGTTAAATATACGTAAACGAAACCGAGGATGAAGTGGAAGATGCAAGATGAGTCAAAAGTATGTGCGGCCGCATTAGCTGAACGGCGTATGGAAGGTGAAAGTCAGGGTAAGAGTCGAGAATGTGACGAGCCTCTGCCAAATAAAATCGGAGGATTGACAAATCCGATTGATGATTGTAAACACTAATTTTCGTCGACATATTTTTTTCCCTTTATATGTACCTACATATTTATATATATACATATTTTGAAACTACGTATATAATATATAGTTTTTAATAGTTTTTAAAACTATATAATATAGTTTTAAAAAAACATTTTAGAAAATATATAATATATAATTTTTAAAATCATTTTGAAAACTTATATATATAGTTTTTGAAAACATTTTTGAAAACATATATATTATAGTTTTGAAAACATTTTGAAACATTTATATATTATATAGTTTTTAAAACGTTTTGAAAACTATATAATATTTTTTTTGAAAACATGTTGAAAACATTCGTATATTATATAGTTTAAAAACATTTTGAAATTTATATATTATATGTTTTGAAAATATTTATGTATATATATATTATTTATTATTATTATTTATTTTATTTTTATTTTATTGTTTTGGTCTTTTCCAGGTCCAAGTTCAGGGTCCATTTTTTAGTCCAACACAGTCACGGCTCCAGCCCGTAGGACAGGCCTGATCCAGCCTGTTGGAGTTTAGGGTTTGGGAACCCTAAAACATGTTCAATCACCGCGCCGCACGGGAGTCTAAGGGTCATGGGCGAAATGGCCGGCCGTTATCCCGGGACTGACCCATCCCGGGATAGTCGGTCAACCACGAACAGAGCACTCCACAATATCCGGGATTCTCAACGGCCGGTGGGGGTTATAAAAACCCACGGCCAAGCCACTGCCAGGGGGAGGATCACAGGAAGCCGAGGGCTCAAACCCACCGTACCATCAACCACAGAACAGAGATAACCCATCGAGAACACCACACACAGAGCCATCACAAACCAACCATCGAGAATCACAGAACCGAGAGAACATCGGCCACGGGAAACCAAGAACCCATAACATCACAAAGACCATCAACACAAAAACCACCAAAATACCAACAACCGAGAACCCACAAAAACAGTAAACAAATCGACCAACAACAAAGGTCGAACACAACCAAATACACAAAACCGAAGTACCAACCAAAGGCCTCGGAGAAGCTATCGGAAAACCAAAGGGCATCGGTTTTAAGGTAAAAGACCCGAACTTTAGGCGTAGATCTACGCCGTTGGGGGTCCCTTTAGGGGAAACGGGCTTCGGATCGGGGTTTAGAATGGAAGGGACACGGAGCGGTGGCCGGATCTTGGCCGGCAGTTAGGCTCTAGAGAGAAGCCAGAGAGAAAACTTTTCTCTCTTTAGTAGAGAGAGAGTGAGAAAGGAAAAATGAGAGGGTTGGGCGTTATCTCCCTCTCATATGGGTGTTTTATACAGCTGGTGAAACGACGTAGTTTCAATTGGGGGTATTTGCGTATTTTACATACGGGTAAACTACAGCCGCGGTCCCTGTAAGCCGTATCTTCTTCATTTTGGCCATTGAATTTAATGTTTTAATTTGGATTTTGGATTTATTATTTTTTCATTTTGGTCCCTTTTATTTATTTATTTATTTATTTAATTATTTATTCATTTACCTATATATATGTATATACTTTTTGGTTAATTTTTTTTCCGTTTTACAATAATTAATGTTTTATTTCATTTTTTTATTTCAATTTCACTTTAGTTTGTTTTATCGTATTTTCAACATCATCTTATCTCTATTTAGTTATTTTATTATTATTATTTTATTTTTTTTCACTTTTTTTTTATTTTTTTATTTACAATATTATCTTGGTATCTTATTTATTTACTCACTATTATTATTTGTATTATTATTTTCTTTTTTGGATGTATTTAATTTTCATTTTTTGTTATTATTATTTTTAATATTTTCATTTTTTTTAGATTTCCAACCAATCAAAGGTAAGTGATGTGAATCGGGTTTTTAAATTTAAATTTAAATTTTTTAATTCTTGCAATTAAGACAACCGATAAATTAATTGGTACCGAAAGGGCGGTTCAAGGGTGCTAATCCTTCCTTGACCGTAACCGACTCCCGAACCCGATACGTTTCTGGTACAACGCAGATCAGGTAAGAAATAAGGTGTCCGATCAACCCATTTTTTTAAAAAAAATAAATGATCGGTGGCGACTCCAGTCCATTCTCCTAAGTCGAAGCCCAATTCCGGGCACAACCGAAAGACGGTTCCGACAGCTTGGCGACTCCGCTGGGGACATGTAAGTGAGTCAGGCCGAAATTAATTTTCGGTTGTCTTTTTATGCGAAAATGGTAAATTTAAATTTATTTATTCGATTCCAGTTATTTACCTTTGATTATTTTTCAAATAAATAGTTGTACTAACATTTTTTAATGATTTCAGATTTTTCAAAGTTTTCATCTCAGGCTCTGTACCCGAGCTCCGAACCCTTTTAAGTGGAGGTGAAAGCGACGCCTTCGTGTGAATTTATTCACCGTATGGGCCTAGCAAGTAACCTTCAGGATTCATATACCTTATGCCTTCGTGTGAATTTATTCTCCGTATGGGCATAAGGGAATGTTTCCTCTCGAGTTTAACTTAGTCCACACAAGCTTGTAATGGGCTTAGAACTAAGGGTCTGGCAAGCCCAAGGGGGCACCAGCAAGGAGAACTCGAGTACCGTTTTAGAACCTAAACCGGGAGAGTGCAGGGAATTAGAGCCCACCCCAAAACCTCATTCCAAACCCTAGGCTGTTTTATTTCCTACTTTATTTTCTGCTCAAAGCATGCGAACTAGACAAATATGCGGTTAGGATTTGTTTGAAATTAGCATGCGGGATAGAGATCATGTCCGGGTAGGAATTAAAGCATGTGGGGTAGATATCATGTGGGGTAGGACTTTTCATTTTTATCATTTTTTTATTATTATCCTTATCTCATTAACTTTTTTTCCTCCTTTCATTTTTGTCCTTTGGCATTTTTTTTATCATTCGCATCATTTAAAAGAGGTGTTGATCCCCCAAAAACGTGTTTGTTAAAACATGAATAATCTACATTAATGGACAAAGGGGTTGTAATACAAAGAGATGAAAAGCTCAGAAGTCCAGCCGTGGTCAAAGAATACCCAGAGGCAAAGGTTGCAGCGGCAAGACGAGGAAAAGGTTACTGACCCGGACGCTCCTTTAGAAAACTACAAGAACAAGATGGTGAAACCCTAGCTGAGCTGGATGCCGTTGCTGACAAATTCAAGAAGCAAGCTTCGGATAGTCTCTATCGATAAAGGGCTCAAATGGTGTTGCCGTTAGGGAACAGACTCGGCATAGAGTGAAAGACGGGGATGCAATCCTTCGAGACCTTTTTGGGGCAAGTAGCTCGTCATCTGCACAAGTTTAGCCAAAGGAGCCGGAATGGTTCGACAGGATATTCAACCGGTGAAAAAAGGCGGAAGACGAATCCACTTGTCAGAAGTTGTCAGAATATTCTTGTCTCTTAAAAGATAAAACACTTTTGTCCCCAATAAGGATTATTTATAATAACAGACACATTTTTCGGATCATTGCCTCGAACATTTCATGCATCATGCATTCTTGCATATTTCGCATAGTTTTCATTTTTTTCACTGCCTTCTCATGAACTAATAAGATATTTTCATAACGGAAGGGTACAAACACTAGACGTACCTCCACAAGCTTCGGACACGTGTCATCCTCATTCAAACTGAAAAGAAGATGGAAGTCAGAATTACTCAGATCGAAGAGAACATGTTGAAGCTCCAGAGAGAGTTAGAAGAAAAGATAAATCAGAATAGCCAGAGTACCCTAGATGCAATCACGAAAGGCCAGGAGTCCTTGATCGATCATATCGTTGCCAAGTTAGTTGGCTTACGTCAGACAAGTGTGCCTGGGGCAGGCTCATCGGAAGGGGTAACCATGCCACCCACCCCGCAAGTGGTTGTCTCACCCAGAATCTTACCAGGACTTCAAGATAATTCGGATGGTTATCGCATTCCGAAATTTGAAGAAGAGGTCAAAACAACGAGGGTAGAAATTACCATTAACCCAGGAGGTAGAACGGGTGGAAAGCCTCCCCTGAAGAAGAAAGAAAGAGAGATCATCAACATTTCAAAGTCGTTTCCGGTCATACCCTTTTGTAGGCAAAAACCAAGGAAGGAAAAAGAACATTTTGATCCCATTCCCATGACATACAAGGAGCTCTACCAACAACTGTTTGACGCACATGTGGTGTCACCCT